TGATATGCCTAAAGAAATTCAGTTACACTTCTATTACGTTCTGGAGTAGTGTCTTTTCTTCTTTTTAGAGATGGACGAGGAATCACAGAGTATGTATCTTCTCAGAGTAGGAGGTGAACCTATGTCTTTTGCATGGAAGCGAAAGGCCTTACCACGGCAATCGTGACTACGTTTGACTGCAACCCCCCCCCCCCAAAAAAAAAAAAAAAAACCCCAACGAAAAACGAATACAAAAAATACTTAGCACATTTTTGAGCTGGTGGATAGCGCCGACGTGATCGGTATTTCTACTCATTATAAAGCCACCATTGGGAACATTAATACACCACTCAACCAATGTCTATGGTTGGGTGCTCTTAGAAACATTTTTTTATATTATCCCGATCCAATCCAGTCACTCATCTCTTTAAGTTATTGTAAGTTATTTTTCGTCTACCTCCGCTATTTTGTCGTCTATTTTTTTGCTGTCTAGATCTCTACTTATGATTAAACTTTAATCTGGCTCTGAATTTCTAATGAAACCTACATTACGTCTTATTGGGACACTACAAGGTATAGTATATCCCTTTTCTATTCTTAATGTGCCCCTAAATTGAATACCATTAAGATGGGTGCTTTAAAGGGGATAAAATCAACTCTCTTGAAAGCTTTTTCAATCTTTTCCAAGGTCTATATTTCAACTGAACTAGATTTAGGTTGGATTGGGAAACATAAATGTATCTCAACATGGTGGAATGAGGCGCTCATCAATCTATGTGTAGCTAAAATTATTGGTGTAAACTTAAAACTCATTCATTTGGTTTGCTTTTGATGAAAAAACTCCATCTATCTTGAATAGAAATCGAGATTTTCGGGATTGAAGGAGCTTGGTTTCAAGGGTAAAAAGTACAAATAAAATGCCCGTCAACGTTGTGTGACTTACAAAGTTTAAGAGTCTTTGGAAACTGCAAAATTTCCTTTTGTACGTCTTCAATGAGCGTTTTCAAGTAAAATCCACAAAGAATCTTTTTTTAAATGGAACTGAAAGGTGGTTACCCAAATTTGTAAAAATCGATAAAATATATACCAAATGAGCGTGAAAAATGCTTGTTTCTTTTATTTAACTATTTTGATGAGCTCCTGATTTCGCCAAGATGCCTCACAAATCGTCAGATAATGTCCGATTCTCATATCCATCAAATCATATTGCTAATGTATTATTCAAAAGCTCCGCAAAGTAAGTCCCATAAATATACATGACAAATTGATGAAGCTATGTATCTGAGCTATTTATCTTCACTTAACATGACCTGGAATAGCACATTTCTCAGGGTTTTTTAATGTATTCGTTTTTTGTTTTTTTTAAACGATAGGCTAATATGATAATAGTATCTCAAATAGCTACTGAGAATGAAAAAGAAAAACATTTTTAAAAGCGACCTACACCATAGCCTCGTTTGCAACCAGTTTCTGTACATACTGCCAGCTTTTCAGTTGCTTTTCGACACATTATAACCTTTAAAAAATATAATTCTTGGAACAATACGGCAAGACGATGCTATTATTAATTTAAATGAACTCAAAAGATATGGGCATTTTTTTTCAAGGTATGTGGGTGCGACACTAAGATTATATTCACAAAAGAAAAAAAAATGAAAAAGGAAACAACAACAACCCCACCACCTCTGTTAGTGTAAGATGATAGAAAACCGACCCCTCCCCCCCCCCACCGAAAAAACCCTTTGGAATAGGACAGATAGATAGTACGGGAGAAAAATAGACACCTATTTTAATAAATTGATATGCCTGCACGACGAACTTCAACCCAGCACAGCTTACCTTCAAATCCTAAGAACAGACATCAAAACCTTGCACTCAATAAACGAGGATAGAAATACAGAGCGATACAAAAACACAATATACAACGTTTTGTAAATGGTTGCTTTTAAGGACAAGCGGGCTAACCCAGATTTCGTGGGTTTCCAGAAATCTTGACCTACACCAAAAGTGGGCATTGCCCTACCTATAGGAGAAGTTTGGTTTCAATATTGTGTATAATTTGTTTGGTTTTAGAGAAAACTCTCCTTGTCTTTTAAATAAACTGAACAAGGGTCCAAAAACTTTAACTTTGATTTTCTCAAAACAGTATTTTTCGGGATAGCCCCCTTGTGCTTAAAAGCGACCAAAAAATCTTCCTCCGTACTGAAGTTTTGCGCTTCAGATTTGAACATAATTTGTCTGATATTCATTTTTGACAAGTCCATTGAATGGCTTTGCAGGCCATTGAATATGGCGTATTAAAAAACCATTTTAGTAGCATGACGCATCATTTCGCATTAGGTCTACTGCTAAAAGCTGCAACAATCGCACCATACTGCAAGCTACAGCAGTCTAACGAATCAACAAGAGTCAGCAGATATCATTTTTCCAAAATTTCGTTTGTCTGCTGAGACCATGGTTAAGTTCTGTAAAGACCAGAGAGCTTTTTGTATTGACCATTACCTCTCCACAAACTCACCATCCCTAACATTTCCTACGTTCTGCGCACGGCATGGAAGGAATGCTTAGTAGAGAAACTCCGTCAGTTGGGATCCAGAGCGAATCAGAACTAAACATTTCTTTTAAAATGACCATTTCAGTTTGAACTCGCACCATGCGCAGCCCTTAAGACGTCACCAGCGTGCAGATTTCAGTAGTCGAGTCCCATGAGATATCTGTCTGTAGACGATCTGCAGCTAGGACTTTCCTACACCTCAACAGTCTGCATTCTCACGGCAGATCTTAACCTACGACTGTTCCATTGTCATCTTCGTTAGGCCGAGAAAACACAGATCAGAGCATGTCAATGTGTTCATCATTCCTCAATTCTTTTGAAAAGCCGGATCTTTTCCTCAATGACATTTTGGTTTAGTGTAAAGCACATTTTCACCCTGCGAGATATGCAAACTCCTAAAATGCTGTCTATTGGGCATCCCACTCCCTAGTGTCTCTAGAAGCCACTTCATGCTGAATATGTAGAGTGCATATGGCTTTAAACACTCGTGGTTTAGCAGATCCTTGCGTTTGGGCGCCATCGAACACTTCGAACGACGTGTTAAAAATGTGTCGAGTCTAAAGGAGGGCAAGTAGAGCACTGCTTCTAAGAATTCCAGAATGAAATCGTTAGTTTTTTAAACGCTGTAAAAGAAACTAAATGTTGTTGAAATGTTAGTGGGAAGGAAGATTCAATGTCAAAGAGAAAATAAAGAGAAAGGTCAACCAATTTTTTCACGACTTCCTTTACAAGGTTTTTAAAAATTGGCGAATTTTGCATTTTGGGTGCTTTTGTTTTAAAGCCATTTTCATTTTCAAAATAATTTTCTTCTTTGTGGATTGTATGTCAAACAAATTCCTTTTGAACGAATTCAGCCTGTTCCAAATTACAACCTTTAAGAACAATTGTTGTGCGAGATGTTTCGATAAAAATTTGTACAGTTTTTAAAAAATCACCCTGTATTTGTTCTGGGAAACGTCGTACCAGCAAAGGTATTCACAACACATGAAAAGGCAATGAGGACTTACCTGTTGTAGGACAACTAACGTTTCTCTCTACCTTCCACTGTCCTAACATGAGAGATTATTGCTGGACATTCGATTATTGAAATATCATTAAAGAACATACATTATTGTGCTTTGATAAAACACTGAAGACTATCTAGGTGTATTGTTAGCTCTGAAAAGAATAAAAGAAACGTAAGCCCTGGACTCGCATCTAATTTGACCCATACACACATCAGGGGTTCGTATGTTCATTTGCCCATATAGGCCGCTGGGGCGTTATGCCCGAAAAACACAACCAACCAACCAATCAACCAGCCAACCAACCAAACAAGCAAACAAAAGAACAAACAAACAAAACGCTTTAAAATTATTCTTTTAAATATTGGGTCTTGAAATTCTTCCAGTTTTTACCTCTCATGTGTACGTATTGGCCCGTATTAAGGTCCTGAAACGGATTACCTGCACACCGGACGCAGATATTCTGCTGGCCTTATTGTCTTTGAAAGAGAAGTTTTGGAGATTGTTACTTTATATTTACTTTGTAATAACAGATTGTTCTCTTATTGTTTGTCTTCATTGATCGTATACATTCTTGGTTCTTAACAGTAGGGGGCAGTGTTTGGGGGCGGGGACAGGGGGCGGAGGTGTCGGAGAACAAACAAGCAGCAAGACGAAACAGCGGAATGTCGTGCAAAATACGATTATCCGTTAGTGTGTCGCAAATAATTTCATGCTCCAAGCATGTTCGTTCTGATTAAACACAATTTGAGCGTCTTTGTTTTTTAAAATTTAAGCTGAAAAATCCTTTTATCTCTTAGATGCTCATCTTTTCTTCATGCGAAATTTGTCAGCATATAGAATTGTTGATATGAGCTAGTTCACCTTATGTAAAAAAAAACAAAGAAAGGAGTTGTCAACAACTATTAACGCTAGTCAAAGCAATGTAAAAACCCCCAACAGTTTACTGACAAAATGGAGGAAAGAAGGAGCCCAGTTTATACACAACATTGAGGAAAGAAGGAACCTAAACAAAAATGTTCTATACTTTGTTTTAAAAAAAAGTTAAAGACAGACGAAATACATGTACTCGAGAAAACAATGTTTAAATAGTGTTGGCTTAACGCTCCTGTCAACTCAAGCTGGTTATTTCAAGATGCGGGACCTCTGAGGTTAACGTCCGTCTCCGAAAGGACCGATTGGGAAATTCCTATAAAGTGTTTTTCCCAAGGACAAAACGTCGGTCCGAGCTAAGGCTCGAACCAAAGAACCCGCAATCTCACCATTACGGGTCCGGTAGCCTAACCACTAGGCCAGCGATGCCACCCCTAATACTCAGAGGACATGGCAAGGGGTTGATATTACGTACGCAACAAACTGAATCACAGTCCTGGTTTTTGATTATCTCATCGCACCGGTAATATGGTTTTCAAGATTTGACAGCTGTTCTACTGCTAGCTGTTGACAATGTTTCAGAGTCATTACTAGACTTTACTAGTCAATCACTTATTTATTTTATAATCTCACTTTGGTCTATGGCTTCCTGAACTTGTTTCGTCTATTAACATTTCTTCAACATGCTGGTTATTATAATTTGCTTTCCTCAGATTTTTGTAATGAGCAATTGAAAACAATTCTATGTACTTTCTTTCCCTTTTTTGTTCTATATGCCCTTTCTTTCTAAACCGTATTTGTGTATATTATTCGTCTACCAATCTTTTCATTTTTGTTTGTTTTGTTGAAGTTGATTCATTTTTGGAATTTTGTTACATAGGAAAAATGTAGCTTTAAGTTTTTTTCTGCTTGAAATGTCTTATATTAACACGTACTTATGTTTTATGGTCTACATGTCAAGATACTACTTAAATACTTCAAAATCGTTTATGACAAAGTTGTCCTCGTGAAGCTTATGATTAGTTATTCAATGCTAGTGTCGAAAGTTCATTATTTAACACACTATTTTTTAAATGGAAAGAACTGTCAAACTCTGGTTTCATCTTTGATAAATGTGAGATGGCCATTATTTGCTGTCCATGGTTATAATAATTCATTCACCTGATGGCTCAGCCATATCAGTAACTTTGACAAAGACGCGGAACTTGCCTCATCAGCTAAATCTAGAGAAGTGGGTGGAAAGGGGGGGGGGTCGGTTTAGGATTTTTTGGAAGAGGTCTTATTTAGCTTCCAAGGCTTTACTTTGATTCCGGCATGTTAAATAACCTAAGCTAGACTGAATATGTACTAAAACTGAACTGTTCTCCTTCTTAGGGTCCCATCGTATGAGATCATACCTGTGGCTATCGTCTACGGAGTCACCCTGCTCTTCGGAGTCATCGGAAACAGCCTCGTCATCTTCTCCGTAACACGGTATCAACGCATGCGCAGTATCACCAACATATTTCTACTTAGCCTCGCATCGGCGGATCTCCTTTTAGTCTGCATTTGCATTCCAGTCAAGGTAAGTTAACTATCTTTTGTTTAATTTTAAACAATTTGTTTGAGCACACTTCTACACCCTCAAACCAACCTCTTTTGAATGTGTTTTCAGGGGAGCCTTCTTTCAATCAATTAATTAAAACATATAACCACGAAGGAAGCTCACTATCATCCAGTTAACACATTAGACGCCATTGTGTGTAAACCATCTCTTTCATTTTCACGTGCCCCCTCACCCCAACAAAAACCAAAAATAAATTTTTTAAAATCAAAACATCTTTATGTAAGCCAGGGAATTAAATCGTTCTATTCCAATTTATATTATCATCCTTGTCTTCCATTATCGACGAAAGTTTCAACATTTTGACATAAAACCCCCAAAAAAGTAACAAGAAGCACCGAGCCTAAACATGGCCCGTCCATTATACACGACATGGGGAGATGTTTTCCCCTCCAGTAACACGTAGCAAATCAATATCAAGAGCAGTTTGGCAAAATCGTTGTTTTTCTGCGTTTTTGCACTCGTTTCACACGGTTTGCTTCTGTTGAATCGCCAGACGAAGAGGGAAGTGATGCGCGCTGTGAGTTATCCACTGTTGTGAGCTCGCTGGGTCTCCATTGTCACCAGCTATCAGTTTCTTCGGAGACTAAATTAAGAACTAAAGACAACACCAAGGGAGCCTGGAGAATGACGGGACAAAATCCCGTAAAAGGGGCATACACTTATTTTTTCTGCGTAGGTGTTTTCCTGTGACGTCTGTACGACGTCAATGAAACTTGCGATTGAGATCTAATCTGTTTTGCAAACACCAAGACCGAGAGCAAAGTTGGAGCTGACGAAATCTCACGTGGCCTATCTGGTTTATGGATGTCAGAAACAAATTAAATCATGGACCATTTTTTTTTCAATTTCTAAATTATTTTATATTCACAATTGCGGGGGGCTTTCGTCAAATAATATTTCTTTTCCTCTAGCCAATAGACTGATGTGACTCTTCGTCCTACTCTATACAAATTAATACGTCAATTTGACTTCCCAGGTTTTCCCCTCAAGACTCTTATCGTCGCTTACTTTTTGCCACCTCCTGATCCTACTCATTTTAACGCTCTCTTTTATTTAAGAGAGGAGACAGTGTTAGCACAAATCAAAGCAACCGAATGGTAATGCCATGTTTACTCAGGTTCGAATGCCTGAAATGAAACTCGAAAACTTAGGTCTATTGATTAAGACGTTTTCAAGATTTAATTTTTCTCACAGCTGTTGGAGAATACCGTTAAATTCGTAGGTTCTGAATCTAAAACTATCTTTCACCGTGTAAAATAAAGGGGGTTTAACCCACAATGTACTGTAATATTCAGGATGGTTTGTAATTCTGAGATTAAATGTACTTCATCACAGAGAAGGCATGATTTCATTATTACTTGTTCAATTGTTTTCAGCATTTGTCAAGCTTTGACTTCATTGCCACCTTTTTGTTGTTGTTGTTGTTGTTGCTGTTGTTGTTGTTGTTGTTGTTGTTGTTGTTGTTGTTGTTGTTGTTGTTGTTG